TGATTATCTAGTAAGGAATTCTTCAAAAACTGCTTGAGATGAACTGTTGGGCAAGTAGCTTGGACTGGCACCGACATGCTCTACTCGGTGTAGCGAAAACGAACCTTCGACCTACTCCACGACAATAGTACTGCTTCCCGTTGCGCCATTTCCGGCAGCTTGCAATATTTAAAAATATTGAATTGTTTAATTGTTGCTGAGAGTGTGGGCCGGTTTACTAATAGGGCAAAAGCAAAATCAATGGGTGAGCGTCTATTTAGAAGCTGCTGATGACGTTCGTTGACGACATGCAAACGAAGACAATTTGTCGCCCACTGGCACATTGTGCATGCCATTGCAGCAGATTTAAGCATCTAAAAAATATCTTTGTTGGTGTAAGCACATTTATGAGAACAAAATAGTGCATGTTTTTGCTGGAACATTTCACGCAAAGAGGCCAACTGGAAATCGGGATGTCAAGATTGTGAGGAATCCTGTGGTCCCATTACTTCATTCGCTTTCAACATGGGATTCAAAAACTCGAATTTCATTGAGTCTTATGAGATCAAAGCCAAAAACTAAAATTTTTCTACAGAACAATAAAAGTCTTTTAAACAGACTACTGAACAGTTTGTCTTGAAGAAACGAGCGTCAGCAGGCTGCTCACTTTGTGATGGAGCATTGATTAAAGCAGGATGAGAACTTGCTAGCTGCATAGGTAACAACTCTAGAGGAAAACGCAGAAGAGACGGGGTATCCACAATGAAATCTTAGAAAAACTTGGATCTCTCTTGATGTCTAACATCTACAGGGTCAGAATGTTGTCCCGGAGAAGTTCGAAAAACCAGGAAAGGAGAAGCCACCAGCAACAAAAAGTTGTATACCGCCTACGGAAGGGCAACCAAGAAAGGTGTATTCGTGCTTTGGGAGAAAGCTGCACACTGAACATGCTGCAAGATGATCATGGGTCACACAAAGGAGGTGGTGTAGTGGAGTAGCACGTCACATCTTGATGTGAAACGGAGCAGTCCAATTCCTTTCCGGTCCATAACCACTTTCGAAAAGGCGCTCCGTTCACGACAATCATCAAAGCTTTTAAGTTCCAGAGTGTGGCTGACATACAGTGTTGCGAGAGAGTGATTACTGATTTTAGCAAAGTGCTATCAACCAGGCAAGTTCTGAGTCCCTGTGCTTCTCTTTTGAGCTTGTTGATATTTCGTATTGGAAAGGCTCCATTCCACAGGACAGTGCTTCGCATTCCGGAAAAATGGAAATTGAGGCGTTGAAGTGCTATGTGTGTGTATGTGTTCACAGAAGCAAGTGCTGCTGCTGCTGACGTGCTTGTACGTCACCTCTCCATTCAAGCATCCAGATATCCATTCGTCCATGCATTCGTAGCTGATGAGAGGCACCGAAGCATTCATGCAATTCGATTTTTATGTGTATTTCTGCTTTTTAAAAGGCTTCATGTAGCAGAGTTTCTTCTTTCACTGTGGCCCTCATCGCATGGAGGACGTCATTTGCCGTGCATGGACATGGCCCAGGCTGCGCATCCGGATAGCCAGCAACTGGGCTCCTAGTGCCTCAGTACACCGCCCACGTATTTACTTTAAGGCGAGCAATTCTCGGTGGGAATACTGCACGATAAGTACATGACATTCATACACAAATAAATGTTTTATTGCAGCACTTCGTCCGGTTGATATATTCCGATGCTCGCTTAGTTCGCTTTTCGTCCTCCTCTGCCCCTGCTTCCTCCGCCTTGCGGAAGCCGCCACCCATATCTGCTTGATTCTCCTGCTGATAGATCGAATGAGAAAGGGTTAAATCAAAAGGGATGGTTCCACTTATCAAATTTGATGTAAAGTATGATAGTGACGGACCTTAATGATGTGCAAGCTACAGCCACTCTTCAAATTCAGACAAAAATCCTAAGTACAGAGGTTAAAATCCCTTTTTTTACTTTTGCCCACAAATAAATAAAACTGTTGACCACTACAGAAGCGGACAAACCCGCAAATGACCACAGTGATGGCACCGGATCTGTGGTAACTATCCACTTATAAGGCTGTCAGTGGTTTTCTCTTCTGGTGGTTGTTTTTTAAAGAAACTGAAGACAGTTCAGGTCCCGGGTATTTATCATGAAATCAGTTGCGAATGTTGCTATTTTGGCACAGAGTCCTTGCTACTTTTGATTTGTTTGTTATGGAACCAGTTTTATTACAATTTTTTTATCACCTTTTCACATGAAAGGCAAAAGTTCCAAAATAGTTTTTTTTTTGCTTTGGAACAGAGGAAAAACAACAATAACAAAACATTTGTTTTCGTACAATCATACAGCCCAACAATGCATATAAGGGTGGATCAGCTGCTACACAAATTTTTCCTAGAAATTTGACGGCTATTCTTGGAAGCATTTTAGCATTTTTTGCTTGTCTAAACTTCGGAGTCTTAAATGCCTCACCATCGTTTTTCCTGGAATTTTCCTCTTTTCAATTAAAAAAAAAAAGGATTGTCTTCCGTATATCCACAACCAGCAAAATCGAACAATCCAATGCTCTTTTAAAATCAAAAAGCACAGAAATTAAATATTTGTCGATGATGTGAAGAGGAGAACTACTACACAACAAAAAATCTTTTTCACACAATGGAAGAGCGGCACACGCACGTGTCAAATGCACCAGTATCGTACCGTTCAGGAAATATCCTAATCTGACCCGATAATAATTCTTTTCTTGAGTTCCAAGCAGATACTCCAACTATGATCTTCAGCCGTTAAAAAGTAAAAAACAAGCCCAGCAGTATGAAAATTTCCGGATAAGCACCCAACTTTAAATGTATTCATTCCCGATCGGAGTGAAATTTCACTATTCATGAATAGAGACAGCTCCAGTGGGCATCTTTCGACTTTCCAGCCTATGGATAAGTTACTGAGCATGAATATCAATCATTTAGCCGTTACTGATAAGTGTTGAACTGATGCGCTGTGAATTGTGAAACGAAGAAAAACAAAAAAGAATAGATATGAAATCCATACATATGTCTGTGTACTGCAATAAATGATTAGAAAAGACCACGTATTCGATGACAGACGCGTTTTACTTGTCTTGAGACGATGGCAACTCTGATAATGGTGGATAAAGTCATTACTAAAACTGAATATTAATGATGGGGAGATAGAAAGATCGGTAAAATGCTTCGTGAGATAAACGAAAGTACGCTCAGCTAGGCCCCAACCAGTACATTTTTGCAGAACTCGCACAGAGCCATGGTCCAGACAACAATGTACTTTAGAAGAAGATAAAGTTATGGAGGCTCTAGATTTGATCAAATTTAGCAAGAATTATCGGAAGTGCAAATTACTGATACTGCTTATTGATAATAGAACGATTCTGGGGGTTTGGTGGACGGGCACCAAACTTTATATAGTCAAAACGCGCAGCACTCATACCAAGAAGGGCAGGACTGCCCTAGCGTCAGTGTGGGTATTCCGTGTTAGTGATGTTACTAGAACGTTTCCACACGCCATGTCCCAGTCCTTTCGATCCTGGGTTGCATACCTTAGCTGGCACCAGTAGCCTGTTCGGCGTATCTGCAGTATTGATAAGCCTTCTTAAAAGAGTCCAAAAAAGAATAAGATCAAATCCATGCCGTGATTTTCTTTTGAAAAGAAATGGAAGGAAAAAAAAACGCTTGCCTCTGGCCAGCAGTCTAACTAGGATGTGATAATAAGGATGATGTTGATGATGATAACGATAGCTACAGAGGGGAGCAGGCACTTTTTGAGCCAAAGAAGGCAAAGGCAATTCAAAAATTAAATTATGCATAAAGGAAAAGAAGTGGAAGAGAAGCAGAAAATGGACCAGACATTTACAGAAATGGAAGCTGGACAAAGTTAAGAACAGTGGATATCTCAAGGACAGAAAAAGCGTTGATTCCGAGAAAGGACCATAGAGAACTAGGGTGCTGGACATTGAGAACGATGAAAATGCAACAAGAGATTTGTAACATACTGCTGCTGAAACCCAATTTACCTGTACTGAAATTCGAAAAAGAACGACTGCTAAGCTGTCCAGGATTTGATTAGAAGACAAGGATGCGTGCGGGCCCTGATTGCATTGCATGTCTACGAATTTTGACAGAACAATAAATAATACACGCAATAAAAAAAATGACGGAGAAAAGATGACAAAGGCAATTTCCTCAGCTGAAGTACCATTAATTTTACTCAAATGGAAGCAGCATGTTTGCAAAAAACGAAGAGGGGTCCTTGTTCAAATTTTCTGGAGTTGGGTTGCGTAAAAAAAAAA